TTTTTTTTTTTTTTTTTTTTTTTTTTGTCCAAGGGTCAGCAGAGTTTAAATTAGACAACACGCCCTTATGTTTTTAGGATGTGGATCAAAAAGCTAATTATTGGTTTTCGATAATTGGTGCAAATGGCAACCTCCAACATAGTGTGTAAAAGTAGACAAGGATCTGGTCTATTTCAGTACACAAAATCTAGATGTTTACAAAAGGCCTAACATCAACGCATGGTGGTGTTTTATGTCAGTTTTCTTAGCGACAGTGCCAATACCTACATCTATAAGTCTAGTCACATTTTATTTTGAAATAGAAATAAATACCATTAAAAAGTTTATGAAACACTTAAATTCATTGCCGAACATATATTTATGTTTATAAACTTAACTAGACTGAAACAGTGGAGTATGGTAGAGACTAGATAAACTAGTTAACCGCGTCGGTGTTTGGAATCGAACAATAGGAGAATTGATTTAACTTAATACACCGTATGGTTTGTGATGTTTAGAAACTGACGTTTCGGACGTTAGTCCTTCGTCGGAGTAAATGTCAAATTTAAACAGTGAATTTTAACAAATGAAACAGTGGAGGTTGGAAAAGACGCAAGGTAGATTGCTTATCTTCTTGCTTGGTCCATCCACAGGTCCAGTTATAAAATCAAAGATTTCAATATATTCGACTGCAAATGCCACTCTTTCAGCTTCCAAACTCTTTTCTTGGGAACTTTAAAATTTCTTTTCTCGATAGAAAGCAAATTAATGCCTCTTGGAGCCTTGGAGCATGATTAAAGAGCTACATCATGTACGGTATCAGCGTCCACGCAGCAAACTTTTAAACCAAAAAATATAGAAATGAATCTAAATAGCAGTGTTTCAGAAAAGGTTTTCTTGTGAATAACAGCATTTATAATCATACTACACAGGCTAAAATATTAAGTTTAGGCTGAGATCAGGAACAGCATTCAGCAGATGATGCAAATGTGATAGATTTTGGCTCATGGATTTTTAAACTTGATTTACTGAAATTCTCTCCATAAATTTCCACACTTAAGGCCATTTACATTGCAGAATTCAGTGTTCGTGCAGCCGCCTTTTTCCGGCAAAATAGCTGTATACATTTTTTGTGTTCAGAGTCGTTCTGTTTGCCAAGAGAATTACTCTTAACGTTCTTCTTGTCAATATGCCTATGTGTGCTGTTGAATTTTATGTTTCAGAATGTGTTCCAGAGCCTTAAAACTGGCGGCCAAGGCTGTGGTAGAAGCTAAGTGGCTTGTACGATACCTACAGGAAGGTTTGCGTGCAGCAATTCTATCGGTGTTTTCTTAGCTTCTCATTCTTTATCAATATCCACATAATGTATGGAACTCTGACAAACGAAACACTCGACTTCGGTTAGCAAAGACATCTTTTCCATAAGAATGCGCTAAGAGTAAAAGAAATGATACGCGAGGAAGATAGCAATTCAGTTGTGCAATTCAAAGAAAGTGTAATGGTGTTTTAAATGTAGACCCTTTTAAGTGTTCTTTTTTAAAGCTATCATTAGAAGATTTCTCAGTCTCTTGTCTTACTCTTGTTTAATGTACAATTTTATTTTTTATTCCAGCGTGTAATGGGGCTTCCATGCATCGTACAGAGTCACTTTACTTGCAGCAATTGTGGTATTTGGAGAAGTAAACAAGCCACTGTTTACACACAAGTGCTGTCCATTAGATCATACATGAATCTATTTTGCGCTATGTAAATAACATGAATGAGTTGTGGCTAGTGTTGTGGCTGGTTTCGAGGTCGATAGAAGCGAGCTAGGAAAATATCAATAACTAAAACAGCATGTTGAATCAAAATAAGTTTACTTGTTCTTGAGTTACATATTTTTAATTATAAACATCGTCTCTGTTACAACTTCGGTCACTTACATCCTATCCTGTATATGGTATACATTTGTTAAGTCTTATCTGGTCTTTCTTACACCACTTTACACTCCATTTGAAGTTTTTTCTATGTAAAATGTTATATACAACCTCACTGGCCAACAACAATTTCTTAACTTATGAAACACAAATAGCACTTCATATCTTCACTAGCTAAGCAGTGGAAGTATCTTTCAAATATCGAAAAACTAAACTACACTGAAAAGAAGGTGTACAGTAATAATTCCCAACTTCGATCAGGTCTTTTTGAGTCCATCAAAGAAAGGTGGTAAAGCGTTTCAAACAGTGTTAGTAACTTTGACTAAATCTGCAAAGAAAATAAGAAGAAAAAAAATAAGAATGTGCTTGCCAATCATGAAAATCATTTATCCATAGTACATCATGGTATCAAAAAGGTTGATAATGGGAGTCTTAAAATGAAGAATAAGAAAACAAAATTGATTTTGATCTATAGATGTCCGATTTTTTCAAACCTTGATTATTATTTCTGTAGGTATGTAGACTATCAGTCGAAGAAATATTCTGTCTAAAGTAAAGCTAATTTAATTTTTACATATTTGCATGCGGGAGGATTCGAAGTCTCTGTAAAAAGTCTCTCTCGCTTCTTTCATTCTATCTTTCTTTCATTTAGGGGGTGCATATATTACCGGAGGGCTGCATGTGTTTTATTCTTTTAACCAAAGCATTACTAGTAGATATTACTAGTTCACTAGATACAGGTGCGGATACAGGGGGATGTCTTGCGGTACACCGGACACCCCCCTAACGCTGTAATTCACTACTCTTACGCTTTTTTGAAGCAATGCATAATATCTCTATATACAAATTCCTAGATCCGCCCCGAGATATAGAATATACGATTCAAATTTGTCAGTTGTTTTAAAAAGGTCAGTCCTTTCTATCGATTTTTAAATTGGACAAAAAACCTCTTTTTGGTCGTGCCGTTGTACCGGCCAGTACGGGTTGGAGTTCGTGTTACTGTTGGCTGCCGCGAAGTGAACAAGAACATCACCTTCGACATCATTATGTCAAGAAATGAATTATCTTTTAATCTCTGTTTGTGTGTCGTTGAGAACATGTGTTATTCCCGAATACTACGGTAATTGATGAATTGGAACATTGCTGTTTTCTTAGTTCTTAATTCAGAAAGAAAGATATATTGCGATTGTATACGTATCTTTATTCAAATGTCAAACACAAGATTAACTACAAATAATTGCATGAATGTATTCAGGGATTTGAGATCTGTGTAACGATGAATGATTCTTTATCAAATTTAGATTTCGTACAGCTAATTGCAAGTAGGTTGTCATATCAAAAAGAAAAATCGGAAACCATTGTCATTATAAAGTCATTCTTGAAGTTTATATTTTTCGTAAAATAAAAGCTGCTTTAAGCAATCTGAATACAAAACCGTAGACGATTAATATTTTGACAAGATTTTTTTGAATATTCATATCAAAATAATTCATTGCTATTTGGTATTTTAGTATTTTGCTCATTTGATTTGACAACGTCCTTGCAATTAGGTGTAACCAAAATTTATAAGTTGCAGGAAACAGCGTGTCGGTTAATTTACAGCACATTGGTATGCAGAAGAGGTCAAAACCACAGGGACCCCATGCTGGTTCAATGAAAGAGTATGTCAAGTAGTTAAATAAGTTTAAGTAGGCAGTTTTGAATGAAACACCATGCTATCTAGCTGAAAGATTATCATTACTGTCTCAGGAATTTTGATAAGTACGTCTAATAAAGACAAATTATTGTAATCTGGCTCATAATATCAGCTAAGTGAAAATGACCGGGGGAAAAATAGACCTTTGCTAGACCTTTTTAACTTGAGTGTTGTTTCTCCATTTAAGACGACCACCTGTCATTCTCTTGAAAAATAAGATTCTTTGCTTGAGTTGTATGCGCAACCTTTAAACAAAGAAATGATACTCTAAGGAAGGACAAGGGATCAGAAATGGGAAACGGTTATGCCCAGCCGAGAAGGGAATATTTCATTTCCTTTATCTCATTTCTTTCTGTTTCTCTTGTTCATTAATTTATTTCTCTTTTTCTTTTCTTTGCTATCTTTCTCTTTTTATTTTTTTATTTCTTTATTTTTTCTTTCGTTTATTTTCGTTTATTTTTGCTTGTTTTGTGTGGTGTGCGTGTCTTTTGTCGATAGTTTGTTCGTTTGCTTTTTTTGTTTTTACTTTTTTTTCTTGGCCATAGATAGTTTTTTCCTCTCTCTGTCTCTCTCTCTTTCTTTCTCTCTTGCTGCAAGGTTTCTCATATCTTTAAGCACCGTGAGTTCTCAATTAATTTTTGAAGTACTGAAATTTAACAATTATCAGTTTTCTTATCACATCTCATTAGATATTGTAGCCGTTTGTAAATGATATGATAAAACGAGTCTGTCTCCTAAAACATTAACTTGGACGACTGCGATGTTTATTTTTTCTGGAACGTTAAGTACAGATTACTATTAAGTACGCAGATGTTTTATATTATTTAATAAGATTTAATTTCTTAAAACACCACCGATTGTATCTTAGCTATGTCAATAATAGCTGCTTCAACATATATTGGTAGCTTGTCAAGTATACCGGCATTGCGTGGTAATGAAGATTATTTGTGTCGTTAGGGGGCGATAAACATTCGTGTTGTTGTCTAACTTAAAACGCTCTAAATGAGATGAAATTATATACGAAGAGGAATGTGTCTCAACAAAGTATCGTGTAAGGTGCAGATAACAACAGATTTTATCGATGGGAAAGCACGAGGTGGTACAAGGGACGTGTCATAATGACACAAACATCAGCCTTTGGTCAAAGAATCAAGTATCACCGAATGCTATATATGTTCACAGGAATTTCGCGAATTTCGTCCCGGAAAAAAATCAACTTTCAAATATACGAAAAATTCAATTTGTCACAAAAACGTTTTAAAATGTTTCGTTTGCACTTTGTAATTTGTTTTGTGTCATTTGTTGAAAAGGACGGTACATTAAACGTGCGAGAGTAAACTAAGATGGCTGCCGGCAGAAATGCGTCGCGCGCACCGCACGTCTTCTTTCTTCGTTCGTGTTTGCGAAACTGAACTATACCCAACTAAAAATAGTTATTCAGAATTACCTAATAGACGTACCTTAATGAATGTTCAGATATTTTCTGCAGAAAAAAACAATTCACAATACAAAGGTTCCTTGTAGTAAATCAAGAAAGCTGACACCAAACATGGCGTCCTGTTTCTCGAGTTTACATCATCAAATTGTCTGGAATTACTTTGCATTTCTTTAAGCTCTGCTCCTTCTTTTGTGTTTCTAACGCTTTTTGACCTATATTTCCTTCATTCTTCGTTCTTCCGTTCCTTATACTTTTTCCAGTCTCTTTCTTGTTGTTCTACCTACCCGAAAGCAAAGGGTAAAAGAATATTTCTGTTGCAAAACTACAGCATCTGCATCCTGGGAAATCAACCTCAAAGTCAAAGTAACTTTCGATGATTAATTATCCGCTAGCCTTTGACTATTTCTGTTCTTTTTTGTCGTTGTTTCTTCCAAATAATTACAGCAATTCTAAATTTTGTCGTAAAGGTCAAAATACCAAGGTTTTCTTAACAACACACCCTTAAAACCCAACAATTACTCGACGAAGAATCTAATTTGATTTAATTAAAAGTGCGTTTGAATTTTAGCAAAGTTTTGATTCAAACTTTGGATATTTCCTGTTATAGACAATATGCTGCAGAACACACACAGAAAAGAGCCAAAAAGTTAATTCGACCTGACATTCTATGGTTGCAAAGACCCACTGTAGGGCAAGCATGTTGTTGACTATTAAAGAAAGAGCAATTACCATCTTGAATCCCCGTTTTCTTTACAGAACCTGTCAGTTGAGGATAATGGAATTTTAGAAACGAAGCTTTAAGAATATGCATGATGTATAAGCAATTTTAAACTATTAATAAATGAAAAATAGCTATGAAATGGAATGAGTCTTCGTACGAGCAGGTCGTTGCAGGATACAAGCAAACGTTTTTGCTTTGATACTACGTCGACTAATGTCATTAGACATACCATCACTTATGAAATACGAAGTTGGAAAATATTCATCCACTAGTTTTATTACTTTGTGAAAGTCAAAATAAATTCAGATAACTCGTTTTGCCCAGATTATGATAAGTATAGTCGAGTGATCAAATTTTACTTGCAACGAGGTAACAAAGTTAAGCAATTTCTAATCTACATACAAGACATACACTAACTAACACAAAGAAGCTAAGAACTCAGGTTTACTGATGTTAAGTTTTCAACCTGAAGACATTCAACAGAGTGACATCACGAAGAGTTTAGCTTCTGCTGTTTTATAAAAAGCCTTTAAGATTCGTTTGCAATTGTATTAGCATCGAAATTTTCTTTCAATTCAAATTTTTAGCTCTTCCTTACTTGAGCAAAGAGGCTTTTTGTAGAGAAGAGCAATGCTTCGCTGTTTACAATGTTTACCCGTAGTTTACATGTCTAATATGAAACCTCACAGTATTACGAATGATAGGTTAGAAACAACCCAACAAGTGCCCAATAAAGCTATGCTTTCATAGACTGTGTTTTAATGGTATTAAGCGAGTTCTTTCGCGTCACAGTTTAATAAACTGCGGGAAAATAACATAAAATGTGGTAAAGTTTAAGCGAATTCTTTGTATATCAAGGAAATCGTTCAAGTCAGTCAGGTCTACGAACGTAAAGTCGTGATACCTTTCTCAGTTCCTTTCAGCTTCTGCAAAGTGCTAAAAACTTTTGGTAGAATGAAAAAAGCTCGTTTGTTTAACACTTACAAAATTTCTATCTGATATCGGAGTTTTGTCCGTGCATCTTCATTTTTTCTTGTTTCGGGGAGAAATTATCGCTTCATTCGCCACAAAGGTTTTATGTCACATCGTTTTCTCGTTTTTTTCTACGTTTGCCGCAGCTTTCTTTTTTTATATATAAACTGAGTCGTTAAGTCTTAGGAATGAGCCGTTGCTCTGCCTTTGAAGGGTACAATTATTTAAGGACTACGAAATGTTTAACCATTTTGCTCAATATAAATTACACTCTTCTCGCGGTTAATTTACGTATTCGATCCTACCGGTATGTTATGTACTCACTTTAATATTTCTTTGCTAAAATACAATTCCTAAATGAAACGTTTACAACCATTTAGTATATACAAACATGTGTCTAGAGGATTTATTTTAACGAGTTTTACTTCGCGGGGCAAAAGAATCTGAACAAGCACTGGGTCATCTTGTCTTGTTCAACCAGAGTTTAATATTCTTCAAGAGAGCGTGAAGCCGTTGTCTTTTGACGAACGGAGACAGATTCAGCAATCTGGTCTTAAACGTCCAGGAAAGGTGGGATAGTTGAGTTCAAAATTAAAGAACTTCAATGCTTCGCAGCAGAGAAAGAAAAAGAGCAGACGCTCGAACCGCAGAACTTCCTCGAAGAGAAAAAGCTGACACTAGGGTGTGACTACAATATGGCGACGTTCAACGCTGTCGCTGGAGTTGTTGTTCGTTTGTTGGTGCTTCATCTTTATTAAAATACATTTATTTTAAGACTAAACTCTTTAATATGCAAATATTGGAATTGTTTTATTGCGTTTTGCCCATTTTTTTGTGCTAAAAGAATTGGTAAAGTATACGAATCGTAGTAAAGTGGTCTTGTTACATCACATGATGGATTGAAGTCAACCTTGTGGCCGACCAGTCCTTCGAGCAAATCCCAAACGAAGAATTCGCTCATTAATTTTCATAAATATTTTTTAATTCCAAGTGAAATTTCAATTAAAAGGTCATTTCCATTCCTATTTGCATGTTTGCGCATTCAGAATCAAAAATCAAGACATTATCTTGCTAACTTGAAAAAACGTGCAAAAATCCACGGTTACTAGAAAAATACAATCGTATTAATCAATTAAACTTCTTTGTTATTTATAAGAGTAATGCTATTACCTCATGAAACAGTTATTCCATATCAATACTTTATGAACAACAGCACCAATTATCTTTTTTACAATTAAGTGTTAGTGGAATTATTAGTGCGAATGACCTCCATTAGATAACAAAAATATAACAAATATGGCCGCCTTGCAGAACAAATGTTAGGTGTATTCGTACGAAGAAAATTACTTACAGAACGCTATAGAATAGCAATTCCATTCTATACTACACTGTGACACGAAATGTTTGCGATAAATAGAATCTGCAGCAAAATAAGCAGTAGAGAAATGCTATTCGTAGAAAATCAGGAGGCTAAGTAAAGGATTTATATATAATACTATGTTGTATTTATAATTTAAATTTTATATGCAATGTAGTTAACGTAAAATCTTTGCATTAAAACGTAAGAAACGCTCCAAGAAAAGATCTAGGAAAACTCCAATGCTTTTGCCATCGGGGTTTTTGGTTAAAATCGATCATAAACTATAAGAAATCTCCTCGGCTACGCGGTTCATGCAACAACAACATCTTCATGCGTTTTTCACGGGTATGATCCAAAATTGTATTCACCTCTGTCTTTGCTTAATGAATGTTACTGTACAATCTCTCTCACTGCACACAAAAAGAATAAACACAAACGCAAGGCTAACCTTTCTTCTAATGGAAACACACGGTTTTTCGATGTTAGGGGTAAAGCATCCAGCAAATTAGCCATCTCCGTGTCGCGTGAACACGAAGTACGTTTCAGGTCCTGGAATAAAAGCCTAAATTATGAATATTAGAAGCATTTTTAACTTATTCCCAATGTGGTACTCACAGATCATATTCCATAAACGTTGAATTAAAAGTTCTCTTTCGTTTGTTTAGCACTATGGTTACATTTTTGTCTTTATGATGGAGAAAATCTGAAAAAATAAATCCTCGACACTACACACTGCAGCGGACCGAGCGACTCCACGTTTTGTAGCAGGCGCTAATCTTTTTTAACTTATTGAGGCAAAACTGAGTGCTTCGGGAAGAAAACTAAGACAGAACATTACCCCGATTCCAAGCATGACATTTTTTGCTTTCTTCTACATTTTCCTTGAGAAAACTTTCGCTAATAAACTATTTCAGCTTCAGGAGCAAAAGAACAACTGAAGGGCATTCGACGGTTTGCCATCACACAGTTCTAGATGACTCTTCATAGTACATCCAACATTTCGACATTTTTATATAAAAAAACTAGACAGATAATGCTATCGTGTATTTGTAGTATAGGAAAACTTGCTCTATATGATATACATCATTTATTAGTTTCTCACAGCTTCGATGTATCACAGTAAGTAGTAAGTAAGTAAGTAGTGAAGTTAGTAGCTTAGTTCGTGTTGTTTTGATCCTCTTGAAAGAATCTTTCGACATTGCATAATAGTTCTATATATCCACCATTATTTTAAAATGTAAAGAAAGCAGAATATAGCTTAAATTTTAGGTCTACGATGTCAAAATAAACTACAACCAAGATTAGAATTAGTTTTAAATGTTGTTGTTTGTTTGCCACGCCCAGGAGAATCTTTAGAAGTTAAAATTATAACTTTTACATCGAATATCCGTTCAACTTTCTGTAGCTATGAACTGGATATTTATAATTTTACGGAACAGTTTTCATGCTTCAGCGAAGAAAGGTTTTTCTTTATTTTAATGGCCTTACACAGTCTACATCTTCGTAAAATGGACCTCAATAAAACAAAATATTCAACGCGTGCTACTTCAGAATTAAGACTCCTAAATATAACATAACTACCTTTTATAGGTGTAAATGAATTTAAAAGCAAAGTCTTTGTCTACTTTTATAGATATTCTTTCATAGTTTTTGTCTTTTAAGTGAACATGTTCTTGTAGGTTGAAGTTTGGGACACTTAGCTCTTGTAGGAGTATGTTTAAGTCTGCCATTTTGATTTTTTTTGCAATGTTTGTACGCTTGAAGAACTAATCAAAAGCTGTCTCCCCACAAGTTTAATCTAATATATCTTTTCCATCGGACAGTCTTTTCTGTTTTGTACCATCTTTTGACCTGTGTTTCTGACATTCCCTTCAATCTCTAAGTTCAAAAGTTTTCGAAGTTTGGTCTGCTTCCGTCAAATAATTAATGGCTCATTTGTAACAATACAAAATTCTCTTCAGGCGTCCTTTCTACTTCGATGCTAACAAAGTCTCATTTGGTTGGGAATACTGTTTAATTTTAGCCTTTGAAAAAATAGCTGAAGGGTTTACCGACGTTAAATAAAGCATCTTTACCCGATTTTCTTTCTTGTTTTCTTCTTCCTACCTTTACCAACAAGGCGACTATTTCTTTACCATGAAACGTCTTCAAACCTGGTCCGTCGTCAACCAACACTTGTACAACAGTAATCATACGTTTGTTCATGACAGGGACAATCATAAAACCATCTATTGTATGAATTATCTTTCAAGGAATACTTTCACTCTCGTCAGTATTATACGTGAGACATTTTGCCCTGTGTGATTTCCACCGCATAACAGATCATTGCTGCAGCTTTATATTTGGTGCCAGGGGTCAGAAACGTTTGAAGATAGACAACACACCCTTATGTTTTGAGGATGTGGAGCAGAAAGCTAATTATTGGGT